GCATCTCATCACATGGAATTGATACTGGGTTCCTACAGGCCCTGCCATTGGTGTTAGGTAAAAAGTGGTAGGCCCCACCAAGCTGAAAAGGCTCTCAAGTATGGGTCTGATGAGGACCCTAGATATGTCTTTGTCTGAAGACCGAGTTATCAAGGTCGTAGAGGCTCCTCCCCAGGTTGACTGTAATGCCGCTTTTGTCCCTAGCATTTCGCAAACACCATGTAGTAAGTTGCAAAGGGAGTGGCTGTCTTGTCTTGTTGGAAGGACTCCTCTCCTAGAACCCTGTAGTATTTAAGTACTATATCCCTTATGCCTGGCACAATTCTATGATAATCAATTTAATTCAATATACACATTAATATCTGCTGTATGTAAAGCACTGTGCCAGGTAGCGGGGGAGACACCAAGTTTGGGCACATAGTAGATGCTTGGTAGATGTTAATTGAATTGAATTGAAAACTTGAAGTCATTTCCCATAAGTGTAATCAGAAAACCATTTAAAGTTGAATGTCCTACCTAATAGCTATCTTTTGTAGTCATTCCATCTGTGTGTGTTGCCTTCTCCTTTATCACCTGCTAGATAGCTCTGTGTACATTTGTCGCACTGATGTATAAATAATAGGAAGCACTTATCTTACCGTGGGGAGTCTTGTCTGCCACGTGTTGGGAGTGGGGTGTGCCCTTTGCATGTTGTTCCAGGGGATATGTTCAAGGAGTCCAGGAAGGTGTCTGTCTTGGATATATCAGGAAGACCTAACCAGCAGAGTTTGTCTAAACAATGCCTCACCCTGTGGCCAGGGCCAAACCTGCTGAGTGGTTAAAATCTTTGCATTGTGTCCTGGGGAATCTCTGACCTTGACAGAAGGGGCTGCTGTATTCATCAGCTGGCACAAGGCCCAGCTGGAGGGTGGACTCTGTGCTGTCTCTGGAGCCCTGTTGCACTAGGTGTGTGGAATCTTTTGGAATGAGGGGGATGCTAGCCCTGCTGCACCGCCACACACCTGCCCTGGCAAGTACACCTGGACTGTTGATTTTACTTTTGGCCAGCCTAGAACATTTGAGAAGGGACCCTGACAACCTGGAGCACTTCCAGAGGAAGACAGTTGGCATGGGGAGAAGACTTGAGATGATGAAATCACAGGTTTTAGAGCTGGAATTAACCTTAGAAATTTTCTAGGCCAGAGCTCCCTTGTTAAAAGAGAAGAAACTGAGGCCCAGAGAAATTAAGTGAGCTTTTATATAGTCTGTAGCTGAGCTGGGACTTCAGCTCAGGTCCTCTGATCCCAAATCTGATGATCTTCCTCCTATACTATTCTGCCTCTCAGTTCACAGGATCATAGGACCATAGACTGAGAGCTGTAGAGGACCTTAGAGACCATTGAATCCAACTACTTCATTTTACCGATAAAGAAATTGTGGTCCTTGGAGGTTAAATGACTTGCTGAGGGTTATGCAGCTAGTGTCTGAAGCAGCATTTGAACTCAGGTCTTCCTAACTCCATTTGCTGCACTTTATCCTCCTAGCTGCCTCATTGAAAGCTCTAGGCCAGGAATAGTAGCCCATGTCTTTGGTTCCTGCTCTCAGGGAGGCTAAGGCTAGTGGATTGCTTGAATGTAGGAGCTCTGAGTTGTAGTAGGGCTGAGCCAGTTGGAGGTCTGAACTAAGTCTGACACCAGTACAGTGAGTCCTCAACATTGGGGAACCATCAGGCTTAGTTCAGGGGTGAAGCTGCCCAGGGAGGAAACAGAGTATGTTGAGGCTCTTGTGTCCATCATTGATGGAATTGAGCCTATAGGTGACCACTACACTTCCAGCCTGGAAGAGGTGAGGAGACTCGATCTTCAAAGAAAGGAGAAGAAAAGATCTAGTGATATTTAACCTGTAGAAGAGAACCTTGGGTTTGTAGATCTGGGACAGGGGGCAATGAAGAGTGACAGAGGAAGGCATTGAATCTGTCTTCAGGGACTGTATAAATGACCCTCACAGGGAAGAAGGATTCGATTTTAACCCAAGGGACAGAAGGACAAACAGTCATGACCATGTTTAGTGCACTTTGCACTGTACCACATTCCCTCCATCATGCTGCTATGGATCAACTCCTAATGGTACCTCAGAGCCTCAGGAACAGAAAAAAAAAAAGAGGTCCATGAAAGATAAACCTATAAATCCATTTCAGTCAGCATGATAAAAATCAATATTTTATGTAGATTTTTAGTTCCCTGAACAACCTGATGATACATTTTGTTTTTCAAAACTGAGGATACCTAGAAAAACTCCATTTCCTTATCAGAATGATGGTTTCTTCAAAAACTCTCTAGTACACATGATAGCACAAATTTCCATGTTTCTTTACAACAACCCTTTACAGTAGCTAATACAAGTATTATTATATCCATTTTATAGATGAGAAACTGAGGTTCTGAGAAGTTCAGGGACACACAACTGGTAAATATCCAAATATCTAGGACCTTTGAACCCAGGTCTTTTAATTCTAAGATTAGTTTCTCTGTCATTACATCAGGTTCTTTCCTGGCCTGTATTATAACAGAAAATAAATTACAACAAATATGACTGATAAAATACCTTCTATACAATAAGCTTATACATATATACATACATATGTACATATATACATATGTGTATATATATATATGTATATATATATATGAATTATCTGTTGTGAGCCTCTTCCAAAAGTCATTTATATCTATTCTAACTTTTTTCAGACTGTTCATTTTCTACAGTTTATCAACTTAATCAATACTTGTTGGATTAGATAGATGAGATCCCTGAAATGCTGTGAGAGACAAATGTGTCTCTAGTATCTAAGGGCACTGAACCCAGCAATTTGTAATGATAGTTTCTTCCCTGGCAAGAGAAATGCTGATACTCGGGGCCATCTTGTAGCAGAATTGTGAAATATAGGAAAAGGTTATCTTTAATCCCTACAACCTTCCCTGTTTTTGCCATTTTACTCCTTCTGTGGAGCTCTGTGATTGATAAAGCTAGGTTAACAATCAATCATGATCAGCAGGTTGGAGGCCATTATTAACTTATGCCTTAGTAAAAATTCAAGTTATTTGTGTCCTACTTCCAGGAGTATTTTCATTGCCTCTAATTGTGAAGTCATAGTGGTGGTGGTGATGATGATGATGATGATGATGATGATGATGATGATGGATGATGATGATGTGATAATACCAGCTTTTTGGCACCTTACAGTATTGGAATTATATTTACAACCTTTATCTCATTGGAGCCTCACAAGCACCCTGTGAGGAAGTCAGGGCAAGTAGTGTTTTTCCCAGAGATTAAATGACTTCCCCAAAGTCATATAACTACTGAGTAGTAGAGCCAAATCTTCTAATTCCAAAGTCAAGACTCTTTGCCATATCTCAGTGGTCTGTGTTTAGAAGTTTAAGTGGCTTCGCACTGACACAGATTATTCATAATGTTCTTCCTGGCATCGTGATATGATTAGTTTTGGGGTTTTTTGTATTTTTTCTTGGTAGATCAAGTTTCAATTTCCATGTTCCTTCCCTGTTTCTTTTGCTGTGCCAAAAAATAGAACCTAAAAGAAAAATATCATTGTGATTTCCATTAATTGGATTGAAAATCATGAGGGCAACAAGAACCAGTCCAAATTCCTAAACTACTGACATGATGGTTAGATCCCCCTTCAGCTCTGGGATTCATATTTTTGACTTTGAAAGTATATTCTGCCTAGAATCCTAAAGAATACTCATTTAGGCACAACTTAGGTGCCCAAATGTAAGTGATTTATGTACAAGGCCCTCTTCCCTTTCTCATGAGCATTCTGACACAGAATTCTCCTTGTACAGTACACTGCTTGCTTTTCAAAAACGCTCCCTTTTCCATTGCTCCTTAAATTCCTTTAAACTTTTAGCAAGGAGATTGAATGGGTTGTTTTGAGGAGGGAGAGTAAGAGTATGAAAACATAGGAGTAGCAGACAGGATAAGGAGATACCCACATCATAGCTCACAGGGAATCTTAAAAACCATACATCTTAAATCCAGGAATTTTGCAGACTGTAAGAATGTACAGTAAAATACTATTTAATGATAAGAATCAGGTGTTCTGGGAATTAAGGAATCTGGGCTGTAATCTAGTCAGGAGTCCAACTCTGCCCCTAAGTTGTGTGATTTTGGGAAAGTAGCTTAACCTCCCTGAATCTCAGTTTCTTCCTCTGTAAAATGGGAGTAATAGTTTTTGTACTTGCTCATCACAGAAGGTGATTGTGAAGAAAGTCAAGTATAAGCTGTGAAGTAGCCCTGTAAATAAATAAACACCGCTATTGGTCCGGAGTGGCAATGTCATTGGTATAGGTTACCCCCAGAGAGAAAACTCCATGCACCAAAGCAGATGGTGACACCACCAGTATGTGTCTTGGGCAGGACTTGAACCCAGGTCTTCCTGACTCTAAGATTGTTGTCTTCCACTACTTCTCCCCTCTTCTCTAGCCCCTACTTCTCTAGCTCTTATTCTAATTTGTCCCTGTTTTAAAGATGAATCACAGAACCATGGAGAGTTCAAAGTACTCTCAAAGGTCACCCACACCCAGTCAAAAATCTCTTCTGTCATATGAGAAATGGCCATCCAACCTGTGCTTGAAACTGAGGCCCAGAGAGGTTATGGGCCTTCTCCAAGGTCATGTTGCTCTCTAGACTTTACACCAGGACCTTTACAGCATGTGGCCCGTTCGCCACTTGTGGCCCACCAAAAGATTTCAGGCAGCCTGCAAAAAATGTATAGGATGTAAAACAAGCCTGCACAACATACTGCCACAGGCCGCTTTGGCAAATTGCAAGTGGCCCCAGGACTGCTTTATACTAACCCCAGTGTTTCTCTACACGGGCATGATCAAGCTTTCTAACTCTTATTTTTATCTTTTCAGCAGCACCTAAAATACAATAACAAATGTTTGGCTAATTTTTTTTTAATTCGGGGCTCCCCCACCCCCCTCTTTTTTGTTGATCAGAGTTACCAGGGAACACAGAGAAATGCTGGTCAAGCTTGCAAAACAGAACACAAACAAGGCTAAGGATGTCCTGAGGAAAGTGCGGACAAATGCAATGAATAAACTGAAGAAATCCAAGGATACAGTGGCTGAAGATACAATTAAACTAATAGAGAAACAGGTAATTGCGATTTTCAGATCAATATGTAAATGTATATAAACTGTACGTAACAGCTGCCATAAATGCCATGTGGGATAAGCAAGGCTGTAGTAATTATAGGTCTCATAGAATGCTTTACATGTGGCAAAGTGCTGTCTTTACACCATGTCAGTGAAGTCAGTAGTACAAATATTGTTCCCATTTTGTAGATGAGGATACAGGCCTATAGAGGGGAAGTGATCTGCCCAAAGCAGGTACAGAGCCAGAACTAGAGTCAAGGCTGGAATGTGTGGGAGGGAAGAGGGATCATTGAACTTTTGATCTGGGAGGGACCTAAGAGGTCATTTAGTGCTACCCTCCTCTTTTACTTCTGAGGAAACTGAGACTCTTAAACGTAAAGTGACATTATCAAGATCGAACAGGCAATAGGCAGCAGAGCTGCTAACTCCAAATTCAATTCTCCTCACTCATGACACATTTCCTGGGCCTTCCAGCTAGAAGGAGTTTAGATTTGGGACCATCTGAGAGTTTTGAGGAAAGCCATGGTTTAGGAGGAATAATTGTGTGACATTTATGCAGTGCTTTGTGCCTTATAATGCACCTTCCTCATAGCCATCCTGGGTGTTGGGTGAGGAAACTGAGCCTCAAAGAGGCTAAATGACTTGGCATGGTGACATACTTCCTAAGTGTCAGAGCCAGGACTTGAACCCAGCTTCCCTGACTTTAAAGTCAAATCAAACAGCTTTTGTAGAAGGAATTAAGGAGGAGGTCATGGAAAGGGGTAGCTGTGTTGACACAGGGGTACCCTGGGGAAGGTCCTGGTGCCCCTAGTATCCCATTTGCTGGATGTTGGTGAGAGTTGGAGGTGGGAGATCCTGGAGGCTGGAACTCATGTCAGGGGTCTTGTACTCTCCCAGCAGTGTAGTAAAGCACAGTGGATACTGGACCCAGAATCAGGAGATGCAGGCTAGGCTTAAATCCTAGCACTTAGACTAGCTGTGAATATGAGCAAGCCCCTTCAACTCTCTGAATCTCAGTTTCCCTATCTGTGAAATGAGGGAAATCATACCTGTATGAGATACAGCTCAAGCTGGTTGTGAAGAAAAGGTTTTGTAACCTTAAAGTGCTATAAAAATGTGAGTTGTTATTATTTGTACCAAATATAGTCATCTGATGTCCCAGAGGTCTGTCCTTCCCTCTCTTCTCCTTCCTTCCTTCCTTCCTTCCTTCCTTCCTTCCTTCCTTCCTTCCTCCCTCCCTCCCTTCCTTCCTTCCTTCCTTCCTTCCTTCCTTCTTTCCTTCCCCAGATGTACCTAGCATGTAGATTCTACTTCCTTTAACTCTTGCCTCATTCTTTCTTCTAGTTATTTAAATGACAAATGCTCAGAGACCATACCAGGCTCATAAAAGGAAGGTAGAAAGTGTTCTTGGGACTGTAGATCAGGCAGAAGTGAGGGCCTGAGCTGAACCCAGTGGGTTTCTGTGGCATTTGGGCAGGAGAAGGAAGGGCTCCTGCTGAGGTTGCACAATACCTTCTCTGCATCAGTAAATTGCTGCTGCTTTCCTGTGAGAAGCCGTGAAACGTTGGGGACTGGCAGCCTTTCCTTATTTATCCTGTGCTTATTGGCCTCTTGCCTACAATAGTAGCAGCAGAGGCAAGAGAGCCACTTGGGTAAGAGAAAATGCTCCAAGAAGCTCGTCAGGGACTGGACCCATGTTCTAACTGATAAAGAATACTCTTGGGCGAGAGAACTCCCTCTACTTCTCCAACATAGAGTCTTAGATAGTTGCCTCTTACATTGGGAAGTTAAATGACTTGCCCCAAGTCAAAGGCAGAACTTGAACCTGGCTCTTCCTGGCTCAGGGGTCAGCTGTCTGTGTTGCTTTGTTGTCTATTGGATGTCATGTTAGAAATATAGAAATAATGTTAAAATATTGCTGGAAGGAACTTCAGAACCCCAAATGTCAGGACATAGAACATAGACCTGGAATGGGCTTTTAAACATAGAACATTAACTATGGAATGACCTGGAAGGGACCTGAAGGATGATCTGTGGTCTAGTATAAGCCCTGGTAGCTCCTCCCAAGTTAGAAAGACAAAGCTCTATTTCCTCCAGCATTTAGCAGTATGTTTTTTGCACACAGCAAGTGTCTAATAAATGTCTGTTGTATTGCTTTATTATGAGTCTAGGCCTTATCTACCTATTGTTTGTGACTCTTTTAAGCCAGTTTCCTCATCGATAAGGTAATGATTTCTGAGGTCCCTTCCTGCCTTCAGTCTGTGATTGTCTATAATTGCCTCTGGTGAGACCAGTCTCTCCGTGTGGAGAGGCTCACCACCACCAATTTTTTGGCCAAGGCAGTTTGGGAAGACAGCTACTAAATCACGGAGGAATTTTGATTTGTCTTGGTTGTGGGGAATACCCACAAGGGTGAAATCATGGGTCTTTTGAAGTATACCTTTGTTTATGGTTTCATTTCCTCTATTCATCATGTAAAACATTGAGTTGGAATTTTTACTGATGAGACAGAGGCCAGCAATAATGCCATTAAAGGGCTAGGATCCTTTGTGGGGTGTTTCGAAATCTTTGCAGGGTATTTCAAATCTCTTTCCAAATCTACTTTATGTATGCACAAATTTTAATATGAGGCTAATGTTAGTTCATTTAACAGCCTGAATTTCAGTAGCACTTTGTAGTTTTAAAAAAATACATTTTCTTCACTCAGAGAACAGGTCTGACTTTTTTAAGCTCCCACAGCAAGTTAGTGGAGCAATCTGGGACTCCAACTCAGGTCTTCTCACTCTAACCTAGTACTCTTTCCACTACCCTGTGTTGCCTTTCCAAATATTTTCTTCTATAGTATTTGGCTTCCTCCACAATGGAAAGATTGTCTTTATTTCTCTAGAAGAAGGAGTTAACTGTCTACTCTTGAGTTTATAAGAAAGAAAAGGTCCAATTCTAGACTTGTGTCCCTGTAGGTTTAATTTCCCTCTCCTCCCTCCTTCCCTCCCAGTCTCCCCCAGCCCCTTGGCCTGGCAAAGCTGTGCTGATTGAGGACTGAGGTCCTCCCCTCTCTAGCTCTGACATCTGCTGGCCTTCTGTTTTACCTTCGATCTGTCCTGCTGCTGAAACAGGCCTGCTAAACATGAAAGTACTTGGCAGCTACGGGTGGCGTCTTCGGCCAAGAACCTTTCACTACAAACCTTTCAGAGAAGTGAAGCCACTCAGAAATAAACTAACCAGGCTGCCAGTAGGGACAGAGAAGTTGAGTGCTGGCTGCTGAGAAGCAGAGAAGGAGGAAAGCCATCTATTCAGATTGCCAGGAACTTGCCTCAGGGCTCCTCTTTCCCCTGACTCCCAGGCAGGCTTCAGGAAAGGTAGCCTTGAAGGCCGACCTGCTTTTGGAAGGGATTTCAAGTGGTCCATTCCCCTCCTTCTTTGAAGCCCAGCCATGTGCCTGAGCCTGGGCTAGCCCAGAAAGGCCCTGGGGTCCTAGCACAGCCTTCACTGTGCTGGAAAGAGGACTCAGTTCCTCCAAACCTGAGTTCTTGTCTTTTTCTGCCACTTAGCTGGGACTGTGTGAACTGGGACATCAGTTTTCTTCTCTGGACCTCAGATTCCTCACCCATAAAATGTGGGGATTTGATTAGATGGTCTCTGAGGTCCCTTACAGCCCTGTTCACAGAAGCAGAATTTCAGAGTTGGAAGGGTCCTTGGTGACTTTATGTTCCCACCTCTGCCACAAAAAGAGTCTCCTCTCACATTCCTTCTCTGAGCTTTCCTCCAGTTCTCACCTTTTCTGTTCCAAGCAGCTGTCCAGCCCTAGCAGATCAGGGGCAGGCGCTCTAGAGCAGGGCTGTCACCCTAGTATAGCACAACAGGTGTCTTGCAGTTAGAGAAGGGAACTTGGGTTCCTGTCCCAGCTCAGCCATGGCCTGACTGTGTGTGGCACTGGACAAGTCGCTTCTTTCCTCTGTGCTTCACTTTCCCCATCTATAAAACAGGGACAGTGATCCCTGCCCTGACTGTTTCATGAGGGTGTCATGAGGATAGATGAGATAGTATTTGTGAAGATGCTTTGAAAATACAAAGCACTATATACAGCTGTATTTTTGTATTCATTCTATAACCAACAATTAAGCTTAAACTGTGTTTTTCCTAACCCCTAGAGCAGCATTCTGTACTTTCTTGCTATTGTTCAGTTGTTTCAGTCGTTTCTGACTCTTTGTGACCCCTTTTGGAGTTTTCTTCGCAAAGATGCTGGAGTGGTTTGCCATTTCCTTCTCCAGCTCGTTTTACACATGAGGGAACTGAGGCAAACACAGTTGAATGACTTGCCTAGGGTCACACAGCTGGTAAGTGTCTGTGGCTGGATTTGAACTCAGGTCTTCCTGGCTCCTGGCCCAGTGCTCTATCCACTGTGTCACCTAGCTTCTCTAGTTAAGCACAGAGTATGTACTTAAAATATGTTTGTGTAATTGGATAGGGATAGTGATTTGGTATGGGGAATCTCCTGAATGAGGAAACTTCTTCTATGTATAAGTATCTATTATGTACTAGTCACTGTTCCAGTCACTGTTAGGGGCTGGAGTTGATTTTGGTACAGAGATAATGACGATGTGGTCCCTGCCATTCTGGCATGATATGAAATAAATATGCAATGCCATAAAGTAAACTGTATTGTAAAACAAAATAGAGTAAGAACACCAAAGGTATTGAATTTGAAGGGTGGGAAAGGTCAATTATTATTATTATTATTATTAATAGCTAGTATTTATATAATGCTTTAAGGTTTGTAAAACACTTTACAAATATTATTTTATTTCATTTCATTATTTCATGTCCTCACAACAACCTTGGAAGGTAGGTGCTATTATTATTATTATTGTTATTATTAATTATTATTATTCCCATTTTAAGATAAGGAAACTGAAGTTGAGGGAAGTTAAGTGACTTGCTTAGAGTCAAGCAGATAACTAAGTACCTGAAGCAGGATTTGAATTCTGGTCTTTATGAATC